TATATTTTGTTTATTACAAATGTTTAAAATAATAATTTTAAAAAACATATGCATGCAATGTCTACTTAAATGCAACCCAAGTTGCACACTACAGTAAATAAATTACATGACACTATAATGTGTGTGTATTTTTAAAACTTTTTTTTACCATGGACAGTGCTTTTTGAGTATTGTGCAACAGGGGTTCGGGGAGCTGGGAGAGGTGTATACACTCCGGTACTTTAATTGTTCCTCCATCAAGGTCAGCAATGATCACATCGAGCTGTAAACAGAAACCAAAACCCAATCAGAAATTACCGAATGAGTCACGGAACAACGTTACCAGAATCTGACCACCTGTTTTAAGGCAGATTGAAAAATGTCTTTCTGTAAGGCCTTGAGCTCACCAGCTCTTGGATCTCGCTCTGGAACATGGAGTGCACTCCGATGATAAAGGGCGTAGGCGAGCTCAACACCTCCAGCAGTCGAGATGGGAGGACGGGAATGAAGGGGTAGCTGTGGTCCAAATCAGAGTTAGGCAACCACCATCATCATGTCAAGCAATCAGCAGATGTTAACATCAGACTTTTCTCAATAGATACCGAGCACAAAAATAGTACATACTGTTGCAAAAGACTGTAAAAATAGAACGATTTGCAAAATTACACACTTGTCATTTCTGAAGAGGACACATTAATTCAAGCTTTTCTTGGCGCATTTGAGATGTCCTAGTTTGTATGCAATGCACTTAGATTGAACTAGATTTGCTAATAATGTAGCTAATGAAATAAGATGCTCTTATCAAGGCAACTTAAGGTCAATTATTCTGGGTATATCAGTAATAGTCGACGTTGACCCACCTGTACTTAAGAGGAAACATGAGGGACTCTAAGGCACGGCAGGCCTCCCCAAGTCTCTGATAGCTGGAAGAGTGGAACAAAACCTTGTGCTCTGTCAGAACTGCACAGAAGAGACTAAGAACATTCTGGATCCCTGGAACACATAAAAATCACACAAACGCACAATTACTAATGACATTTTTGATCTGCAAAATTTAGCAAAGACTTAAACTACTTCAGTCTGTGTGCACTGAATTTATTTAATACACAAGTTGCACAATTTGAGTTGAATTGCTGAAATAAATAAAAAAACTTTTCCATGACATTCTGATTTATTGAGATGCACCTGTATATTCAAACACCTTTTCTGAAAACATGAGAGGTTATAACTAGGGCTAGGTATTGTCTACAACGTCACAATATGATATTTATCACAATTCACACATCACAATACTCTTACACTGTGATATATCGCAAACCATCATATTAACATTATTAGATCTCGACTGTCACTGCTTGATTTTTTGTACCATTTAAACTTGCCAAGCAAAGTTGGCAATTCAAGCAAAAAAACTAAAAAAAAAAGCCATAATTTTTTACTAAACAAAATTTAAGATACATTTTTATAATGAATATAAAAATCTTGACTGTTAATGTTTAAAAAACTAATTTTTTTACTGTTTAAATTTAATAAATGTAAACATTTAACGAAATAAAACTTTACACATATTGAGGACAAGCAAAAGGCAATCATTTTTACTAAACAAAATTAAAGATTAATTTTATAGTGAGTATAAAACAAAGAGCTGGATAAGAGACAAGTAACAGATCTTGATTGGTACCACTTTACTAAATAAATAAAGATCAAAAACTGTTTGTGTATAT